AGGGATTAGGCTGTGGAGCCTCTGCGCCTCCCGGAACCCCACGCATTTGGTGGCGACTTGAGGTCCAGGTGGACGTCCTGCACGTGGAACTGATTAGAGTGAGGAGAGACTTTAAAAACAGACCCTGAGATGTCAGCTTCAGCAGCTGTCCCTACTGCTGAGAATAAGCTCGATCCCTCAAGCATGACTGAAAACTGCTGAAAAAGAAGAGTCTGATTCGATGGCTCCATTCCACTCAGTCATGGAGACCTCACCCTGGGGCGGGGCCCGCATGCGTCTTTCCCTCCCATGGGTGGCTGCGGACCCCAGCCAGCCCCGAGGGACCCAAGTGTGCCCGTCAGTGGTCAGCGGCGGCTTCACTGGAGGTCCTCCCTGCTCTCAGGAGACCACAGGCTGACAGATGGCCGAGTGGGCCTGCAGGCGACCCTCTTCCCTCCTGGCAGCAGGAACCACTTGGCCCCAACAGTGCCTCACGTGGCAGCCACAGAGAGCCGGATCCCAAGGAGCGTTCCCTTTTATTCTTTCTTACATTGTCAAATACGTAAGATGTCTCTGCGCAGAAGAAAGCTCGCAGCATATGTGGAAGTCACCAGGATGGCCCCAGGACGCAGCGGGCGGTGAGGACAGTGAGGTCCTTTACCCGAAGGCCACCTCGGGCCCAGCCTGGCCTGAGCAATGACAGTGTGAACCTGGGGCAGCTGTGGCTCTGCGTGCCACTCTGAGCCCACCGGAGGTGCTGAAAGGGCTCCAGGAAAAGTCAGTTTGGGCACCCGGAGGGTGACACCCACAGTGGCCCAGGCCTTCTGCTGTCTTGAGATCCACGTGGTTGTGATGAAGTAAAAGGCACTGGTTGCCACTGGCACCTCCTCGGGTTCTCACAGTCACGCATGACAACTGGGAGAGAAGCCAGAGGTGGGTGGGCCGAGCTGTTCTGGGCACACAGTGGGACGGGACGGCGGACCCTAAAGACACTTGTCCCTGCCTGGAAGTCTCCACCCTCCTGCTCGGATGTGACTCAGCAAGGCCAGGGCTCTGCAGCTTGGGGGAGGCCCTGTCGGCCTGCCAGGCCCATTGTGGGAAGGGAGGAGGAGGGGCGGCAGCCTCTGCAGACGCTTCCGGTTCCTGCTCCCCTGGGTTCCTGCTCCCCTGGGTTCCTGCTCCCCTGGGCCGTCTCTCCGGCACCGCTGGCCTTGACAGCCCTGCGGGGTTTGTCCATTTCTCCCCCAGAGACCAGGACGCTGGGGGACCCGTGGGCCCATTTTACACATGGCACCGGGCAGGGACTCGAGGGTCCAGCCTCACCCCTGACTCCCACCTGCCCCCAGCCCGAGGTCTCAACCCCAACCCCCTCCATACCCCTGGCTCATGCCTTGGAGAACTACCCCACCCACGCAGAAGATTTTGTCTAAGAAAAGAATGATGGCTTTTCAAATATTTCCACTCTGGCTCCCCATGACCGAGCACTGTGAGACCCCGGTGACCCCGGAAACAGCATGACCTGCCGTTTCCTAAGCAAGGAGGCCCCGGGTCTGAGTAATTCTGAGATCACGAGTCCCAGTATGTGGCCTTTGACAAGGGCAGCAAAGGCCAGCAGCCAGCAACCCCAGAGCCCAGCCCCTCCCTGGGCCTCTGAGGGGAGGAATTCCTCCTGCAGGTAAATGCCCCCAGGTGGAGGTGTCAGGCTGGCCACACAGACCGACCTTCCTGCCCAAGGCCCCTGACTCGCCCTGGCTGGAGGACCACCAGCCACCTCCCTGCAGGCTCCATCTTGTGTGGTCTGACGGTGGCACCAGAGAAAGAGGAAGCTCCAGGCTGGGCCCCACTCCCCGAGAACCCAAAGCAGCCGTCCTGTTCTGGATGGGGAGCAGCTGGTGCGCGGAGCTCCCTTCCACAGAGGAGGGGTCAGTGGAGCCGGTCCGCTCCACCCCCCAAACTCTGGCCCACCCCGTCTCTGCAATGCCAGGCCAGGCTGTTCATCCCAGCGTTTCTTCAGGGCGAGACAGGCCTCTGGGCCCCATCCCAGGAACCACGGCCCAGACCGTCCCTGCCTCAGAAGAGCCACAAGGACAACACACACAGCCTCAACCACTCACACACACGCCGACAAACCTGAGCACGCTCATGCCACGCCCCTCCCCCGCCGGGCCCCAGAGAACCGAGCTGTGGAGCTGTGTGGCCGAGAGCTGCCCTTTCCGAGCTTCTGCTAGGTGGTGTGTTCAAACCTGCAGGCCTCGGAGAGTCCTGTGCATCTGGAATAGCACAGTCCAAAACACGCAGTGGGGACACAGCTGTAACCTTACCTGCTCTGATAGCCATGCAGACAGAGAAATAAACAAGTGAGATTAATTTTAACACTATTTGTATTTAAATCCAATAAAGCCAAAATACTATCACTTGGATAATCAATACAATGATGATGATGATGATGATGGATTATTATTTTGGGGGATGGAGTCTCACTCTGTCGCCCAGGCTGGAGTGCAGTGGCACGATCTCGGCTCACTGCAACCTCTGCCTCCTGGGTTCAAGTGATTCTCCTGCCTCAGCCTCCCAAGTAGCTGGGATTGCAGGCGTGTGCCACCCCACGCCCAGCTAATTTTTGTATTTTTAGTAAAGATGCGGTTTCGCCATGTTGGCCAGGCTGGTTTCGAACTCCTGACCTCAGATGATCCACCTGTCTTGGCCTCCCAGAATGCTGGGTTTACAGGCATGAGCCACCACGCCCAGCCTAAAGAATTATTGAAGAGCGATTTGACTCTCCTTTTTTTCTACTAAATCTTTAAAATCTGGTGGTTGTTTTACATTTATAACCCATCTCAATCAGACACTAAGTTTTTATCAGAAACCCTTGATTGTTTTTAGATTTAATAAAACATAGAGTAAAAACACATATTGTCACCCAAATTCTTTCAAACGTGCTTAAAAGTTTTTAATTTTTAAATTTTAAACTTTAAGACAATAGAATAAAACCCTCTGTGCCAAATTCCCCACAGAGTCATGACATTGGGGTTTCAAAGGCCTCATCGCCAGCCCCCACCTGCAGGCAGCCCTCCTGGGTTGATGGCCATGAGATGAGTGTTGTCAGTGTCTGTGGGAGAAGCAGGGGCTCCGAGGTCAGGCGAGCGAGGGACCAGCTGGGCCGTGCACACCGAGGGCGCTGAAGGGCCTGGGACGCCCCCTCTGAGGGGTGGACCTGACTGATCCCAGGCCCTCACGGGCGGAGGGTCTCCTCCCCAGGAGGCTGTCGGCACTCAGGGGGCCCGGGGCTCTGCTCACCCCAGACTCCTCTTCTGCATCAGCCACAGAAACAGACGTTGGTGCCACACCCCTTCCAAGCCCCACACCTCACTCCACGCCCCGCCTGCTGCCCCGAGGACCCACGCAAAAGCCTGACCGCCCACATCCAGGCCTGGGGGCAGGAGGCAAGAGCACTCAAGAGCAAGCGGCAGACCCTGTGTCCCCACGCCTCCCACGCCTCCACCACCCTGGGGTCAGGGCCTGGTGGGTCCTGCACACCCCGACCCCGTCCGGCCAGCCTGGCATCACCCACACGGTCTGCCTCCCCCACCCGATGCCCTCCCACTGCCCTCTGGCATTTCCCCGTACGTGTCCAGCTCCTTACTGGCACGGGGCCCTTGCTTGGTGGCTCACGGTGCCCGCCCTCCCTCTCCTGGGCAGGGCCTGCTCTTCCTCCGATCCCCGCTCAGAGCCGTGTTCCCAGGAAGCCCCTGGCCTTGCCGAGGTGAGAGCCTGTGACAGCTGGATGCTCCCAAACACCCACCACGACGGCGACGGCTTGCGACCACAGCTGTGTGGCTGTGTCTCCGTGGCTGTCTGTCCTGTGGCGTCGGGAAGGACCCCGTCTGGCTCCACCGCGTCCCAGTGCTAGGATGGAGTCAAAGCTCAAGAAAGCAGATGAAGAATGAATCCATGGACAAAAAACCCATGAAAGCTCTGAGCACCCTGCTCCCGAGGACTGCCGAGGCCGGAGCTCACCCCAGCCCGGAGAACTCGGAGCAGCCGCGACCGAGGGGCTGGAGGCAGGAAGAGGGGCCGGCCCAGCCCTGGGCAGGTCTGGGGTCCTCGGCACACAGGCCCCAACCCCGGGACTCCTGGGCGTGAGGGGAGCTGTCCTGCCCGTGTGGCACTTCAGTCTGTGGGGAAAGGGTGGGTTGCAGGCAGCAGACGCTGCAGGGACCAGGGGCTCACGGGAGGAGTCCCAGCAGCCAGGGTGGCCTCTGCGGAAAAAACCCAGGGCCGGGACCCCGAGAATGGGAGGACAGTGGGGCTGAGGCGGAGGATAAGTCCTGGGGAGCAGACACCGCTGGGGCAAAGGCCGTGTTGGGGAGACCACGCATGGGAGGGGGTCCTCAGAGCGGGAATGCCCTCCGGGACGGCGGCCCCCGTGACCACCACGCCCTAATCCCCAAGATCTGTGACAGTGACCTCACTTGGCAAAGAAGTTAGGCACCTTGGGATGGGACGGGAGCCTGAGTTATCCGGGTGGGACCAGAATAATGACCAGGGCCGTCTAGGACGGAGGCCGAGGGGAGAAGCAGAGACCCGAGGCCTGCGGGGAAGGGCCTGAGCCAGGGAAACGCCGGCGGGAGACAGGGACACGGATTTTCCCTGGAAGCTTCCAGAAGGAGCTCATTCCTGAAGGCTCATGGCACCCCGGTTCAGTCCTCTGCCTCCAGAACCTAAGGTGACCTGGGAGCTATGTCGCCCCTCACTGGGGCTCTTACCCCGGTCCCTGAAACTCACGTGGCCTTCCAGAGCAGGAGCCAGGCCTCACACTGAGGCCCCCGGAGCCTCGGAGTTTTCCAGCAGGGAAGGACACAGTCTCCCGCGTTTCTGACTACGAGCCACGCTGGGAGGCCGGCCCAAAGCCAGTCCCGCCCACGGCGACTCCCTGCTCCTCACAGCCCTGCCGCCCCCTCACAGGTGAACAAGCCGGGGCCCAGCGCTGCCTTGCAATGCCCCGACGGGTCTGGGGGGGCTGTGTGGGTGCCAGGCAGGCTGGTGCTGCCTCCTGCACAGTCACCTCCCACGGAGGGCACTGGGTCACCCGGGGAGATGGCCTCGTGGTGCCTGCCATGAGACGCTCCTGAGCCTTGAGGTGGCCATGGCTCCAGGGCCCATGGCATGCCCACCAACCCCAACAGGCGGGCAGCGCGGCCTGACCTGGTTGAGCTGGGACCTGCAAGGCCGAGGATCTACACACCGTCCTCCACAGCCATCAGGCGTGCTGCGGCGGTTTCAGGTCCATCAGTGAAGTTTTCTGTGGTTGGCTCAGAGTGGAGCTAGGCATGGCTTCTGCATGGTGTCTCCTTGGGGGCACTTGGGAGCCTTCCCGGGGCCTGTGGAGCCTCAGGTGTGTGCTGGCGTGTGGGGCACAGGCCTGGGGCTCCCCGCAGCAGCGGAGAGAGGAACTGGAGGGGTTCAGGTGCCCTCCACCAACAGAGAGGAGGTGTGTGTGAAGAGAGGGTGGGACAAGTGTGCGTGTCGTCTGCAGACAGGAGAGGGGCCGCCCGTGCCGGCTGGAGGTGAAGGGTGCTACCCGCACGCCTGGGTGCTGAGCTTCAGGCCTGCCCCTCTCGGGACTTCCTGCCCTGCCCGGGGCTGGCTGGCTGTTGTGTTTTCTGCTTTAATGATTTAATGGGTATTTAACCCTCCCTTGGTATTTGCCTGGCTTCCAGGTACTCTGAAAAATTTCCCTAAAGGGGCTGGGGGAGGGAAGCTGGCGCCGTGCGGGCGTGAGTCAGGTGGGTGAGGCCACGCGCCTTCTGAACCCATGGCTCAGAGCCTGCACGTGTCCCAAAGGCCGTGCTTTCCTGTGACAATGACCCGACCCTGCCCACGTCAGGAAAGCCTCACACAGCTTTCCCAGCCTCCAGAGAACGGGAGAGTCTCGCTCGTCAAAGTTCCCAGGAGCCCAGATTCTCCTGCCGGCTGAGACCAGCCCAGGAAACTTCCCTCTCAGACCACCCCCCGGGGCACAGGCTTTGTGGCTTCCTGGCCTGGTAATTTTCCAGCGTTGAAACTTTCCTCTCTGGGGCCGGAAGGACCTTCAGCCACCAACAGCTCAACCAGAAACGTTTCTGCCCGACCAGAAGTCACAGCCGCCCAGAGAGCGACTTGACTCAGCCCAGGGGCAGGGCTGTGGGGAGCGGTGGGGTGGGCCCACCTGCAGGTCGGGGACGCTTCTGGCCACGCCCCAGCAGCCTCGAGAGGGACACGATGTTCCAGGGCAGGCGGCCTGAGGAGCCGAGGACCCAGCCAGAGGGAGAGGGGCTGCAGGAGGCCATTAGCTCCCTGGTGACCTTGGCAGGAGCATCTGGGAAGCACAAGCTGGCCCAGGTCTCCTCTCGGCCCTGAGGTCACAGGACTCCAGAGATCCCTGCGGCTTCCCCTGAAATGAAACCAGAGCCAACCCAAGACAAAAACCTCTCAGGCTGACGCTCTATTCCCAAAGAAAAACCTCTTACGCTGGCCCCCATTCCTCACACTAGCCCCCACATTCCTCACGTGGACCCCACATTCCTCACGCTGACCCCCACATTCCTCACGGTGACCCCCACATTCCTCACGCTGAACCCTACATTCCTCACGCTGAACCCTACATTCCTCACGGTGACCCCCACATTCCTCACGCCGGCCCCACATTCCTCGCGCTGACCCCCACATTCCTCGCGCTGACCCCCACATTCCTCACACTGATCCCACATTCCTCGCACTGACCCCCACATTCCTCACGCTGGCCCCACGTTCCTCACGCTGACCCCCACATTCCTCACGTGGGCCCCATATTCCTCACAGTGACCCCACATTCCTCAGGCCAACCCCACATTCCTCACACTGACCCCTACATTTCTCACGGTGACCCCACATTCCTCACACTGACCCCACATACCTCACGGTGACCCCACATTCCTCACGGTGACCCCACATTCCTCACAGTGACCCCACATTCCTCATGCTGATCCTATATTCCTGCTCCTCCTTGAGGGCAAGGGGCAGGGTGTGACTTCCCTCAGGGGTGGGAGACTCAGGTAAAGTGGCTGGAAGGGCCACGTGTCACCTCTGGTGGAGACCCCTGGGACCCAGTGAGCCGTGCACCTGGCCCTGGCAGCAGCACCTGCAGCCTCCAGGTGGTGCCCGTGGGGCCTGTGCAGGGACGAGGGACCGGGGTCCTGGCTCCAGTGAGGCCTGACCTGTCCATGTTGACCGGCACACCTCAGAGCCTGGATGAGGCCCAGGAGGACCCGGAGCCCAGCCCCTCCTCTCCGTGGCTTCCAGGTACTTCTGTATTTGGATATTTTTAGGGGAAGTTCTTTATTGTCCAAAGATGTCATCATTGAAAAAGGGAAACGACCATCCCACCACACTTCTGCCAGCTTTATCCGAAGGGGCAGACTGTGCTGGGACTCCGGCTTCCGAGGACAGAGCCAGGCCTGTCTAGTCGGAGAGGAAGGGCATGTCCTCCCAGCCAAGGGAGGAGCAAGGACCGGCCGCTCGGGGGTCTTTGCCCGGCGTGCCAGGCTCCTGGGAACGATGCAGCCTGTGCCCCCGAGAGTCACCCAAGTCGGCCTGGACAGAGCCACAGCGAGCTGACCACACGGGGTTCCTGCCGAGGCTCTGGCTTGGGTTCACTCACGCAGGGGCCCGGCTTGACTCCTCCCCACACAAGGGGGCAAAAAACACATGACTCCCAGGCCCGGGTGTGAGCTGGGTTTTCCATTCAGAGTGACACCCGGATTTGGAGGAGGAAGCCGGTCGTCCCGAGCCTCCACACCTGTCAAGCCAGGCCGTGGCCCTCGGACGGGCCAGTGAGCGAAGCAGAGGTGGCTCATGGCTCTCCGCGTCCTCCGTGCCGCCAAGGCACATGTTCCTTCATCACCACAGCCACATCACACCACGAGCCCCGCGACATTCCAACACGTTCATTCCTTCGCTTACAGGTAATGCTGCGCAGACCAAACCAAGCGACCCCCAGCAGAGGAACCAGGAGGGCGGGGCGCCTCGCTGCGGCCTGAGCTGCGGGCCTGGGGGATGGCTGGCCGGTCCCTGCCAAGGGTGTGGCCAGCCCGGGAGAGCCACGCCAAGCAGCAGAGAGGGGAGCCGCCTGCGCCCTCAGCAGGGTGTGTGCCCGCACTGCCGGGGGCATGTGATGTCGGAACAGACGAGAGAGACGGGGCTCTGTGAAGCGGGAGCAGCCTCAGGCTCCCCGGGAAGCCTCGCCCTTGGGAAGCGGGCAGAGCATTGGCTTGGCAGGACCGCACATCCCACAGGCCTGGCGGCCCCTCGTGGGCATCTCAGCTGGAATGGGGCTTGAGCAAGGGCACAGAGGAGCCAAGCCAGGGTCCCACGGGGCTGCCTGGTTCAGAGCGAGAAGCCGAGGGGCGATGGTGCTGGCGGCGCTGTGAACCGCAGGGCAGCCCATTTTTTCCCTGGAGTCCCGCGGCTGCCTTCCCTCCAGCTCCAGGCACCTCAGGCCTCACACTGGGCATGCAGGTCCTGAGGGCTTCCAAGCCGGCGCGCAGTGCCCTGGTGGGCCTGTGGGCCTGGGGAAGGGGCCGGCAGGGGTGTGTGGCTCAGTGGTTCTGCGCCTGTGTCTTACTCACTGGGGTTCTGGGTCAGGGTTCAGAGCTAGGAAGCTGAGGCTCTGAGGAGGGAAACCGGAGGAAGAGCAGGCATGGGCGTCTTCCGAAGCAGTCCAGGCCCACGGTGCCACTGGTCCCACCTGTCGTGCCTGCTCCCAGACCCACCCGGCCTTCCCCTCCTCAGCCCCAACACCGACACCCTGCACTCTTGCCTCACCCACTGGGCCACCCGGGCGCAGCTTCCCAGGCTGCCTGTGGGGCTGGAAGGACCCGGGGCTCCCTCCTGACATTGAGCACATGTGGCCTCTGGACTGACCTCCCAGGCCAAGGGGCACCAGGGAGAGGTCAGTAGCCTCTCCTCAGGCTCCTTGGGCACCAGTGGCAGCCGCAGGGCACAAGCAATGTGCCAACACTCCCGCCCCCTCCTGCTCTCCCAGCCCCACGCTCACTTTCACCAGCAGCCTCACCCAGAGGGCACCAGCCTTGGTCTAGGTAAATGCCACCTCACCTCCAAGATGACCCTGCATCTCTCACCTCTAAGCCTAACTGTCCCCAAACCCAGAGCTCCCTGTCCAGCGGCCAACCCACCATCACCTCTGGCACCCAGCAGAGCGTCCCTGCCTGACTCAGAAATGCTCAGGGTTTTCCCCAGCTGGCTCTCCCTGCCCCACCTGTCCTCCTCATCTCGAGAATGGCCTCTTTCCCTTGTCTGCCGCTTCTGGCCTAAGAGTGAGTCCTCAGCCCTGTCCCCAAAACTTTTGTCGAGTCTGTGGCCTCCTCGCCACCCCTCCTGCCCATCGCCTCTTACCTGGTCTCCCGCCTCCATCAGTCCCTCTCCAGACCGTAAGATCAACTAGGAACGCACATCAATTATGTCACATGCAGTTAAGATCCCTGTGTGTGGTTCTCTGTTGCCCTTTAGATAAAGTGGAAGCTCTTTACCATGTGTTGGGAGGAGGGCTGGCGTGAGGAAGACCTGCACACATCATTGTCGTCACCATAACTCTTACCACTGTCACTACCACCATCACCACCACCAACCCCAACATCATCCTCATCATCCTCATCACAACTGTCACCATTACCACCATCACCACCATCACCACCACCACCACCACCACCATCACCACCATCACCACCACCACCACCATCACCACCACCACCACCACCA